TTGACCCGTTGCTTTTCTAAGCTCGACCGGTACGTCGAGTGAGCTCGAGCCATAATATTCGATCCATAACTTGATCTAACCCCAAAAATCCCAACCCAACATAGAAAAACAAAAAAAAACTAGAGAAATAATCCAACCTGCTCCGCCTCGACGTGTACATCGGGTGGGCATGAGCCAAACAATTTGACCCGCTAATTTTTCCACCTTGACCCAACTAGACGTTTCATCAAATCTAGCAGAGAGGCAACAATGATCATGATTGCATCCACCAGCTTGCTTCTTTCCTTTCTTAAATTTTGCATGTTGTTAGGGGTGGGGGCATAGGCCCCTGCTGGCACCCCCGGTTCCGCTATTGATCTCTGGAGGCGTTAGGAGAGTCTCGATGTCTTCTATAGAATGCAAAGTTCCTTCGTCTTGTCTTTCTATCAAGAGCATCCTATGATGTGAAAGATTTATGGCACAACTTTTATTATCTTATCCATCTTCGCTATCTTCGGATTGAAAGTTCTTATCTATATAATAAAGCCAGATTTCCAAACAGTATTTTCAGATTTTATCACATGATGGTCCTAGATGCAAAACATTGTGACATCATAAATCTACCAAGAGATGTCAGCAACCATTCGTAAAATTGTGTCATCTTCTTGTTCAAGATGATACAATACATCTAGCATTGTTGATGTTGGGAAATTAAAATCATTACAAGAGTTGAGAAGATTTGTGGTCAAACAAGTTTCAAATTAAGGCAGATAGGAGATTTGGAAGAGCTCTGTGGATCACTGTGCATTGATAAAAACAGATGCTAAAAAGTCGCCTACATGAGTTGATATTATATTGGGAAAATATTGACCAATCTACCAATGACTCCACACCAGGAGACTATGTTCTTGGAAGGCTTAAGCCAAGTACCAATCTTCAAGAGTTATCCATTATAGGGCACAGAGGGGGCACTTGCCCTTCATGGGTGGCTATGAACCTCTCACTGAGTAGTCTGAAATCTCTTTGTCTAGATGACGTAGCTTCGAAAACATTTCCACCTATAGGAGATTTGTTGTTAGCAAATGTGCCCCATGAGGAAATCTCAGTCAATATTCCTGAGAAGAGGTTTGGAATTTTGAGAAGGCTGGAACTTATGAACTTGTCAGGGTTGAAAACGTGGGCTGTACATGCCCCCTGTCAATTGTTTCCTTATTTGGAAGTGCTTATCATTAGGTATTGCTCTCAACTTGTGGAATTGTCATTTTTGCATTCTGCCGGTTGTTGTCAACAAGGGAAAGATGCGAATTCAATTTTATTTTCTAGACTTTCGAAGCTCGAGATTGAGAGGTGTCCACAGCTATTGTCATTTCCTCCCGTGCTTCTTTCTTCTTCTTTTTTGAGAAAATTTTGCTTGTTGTTAGGCCCAACATGCATCCAAGGTAAGGCAACCTGCCATTACAAATGTTTATAATAATTAGAGGTCCACGAGACCTACATGCATCCACTCATAAATGGTTTCACTGTCACATGAGTGTCCCCAGTTAGTACTGATGGCCTTGCAGTATGGATGGAATGCATAAAACAGGCAGCAGACATGCATCACAGTCAGCATAAATAGCAAAACGAATGCCATTTAAGTAGCTTAGAAAATTTCAACTTTTTAGACGACAACTAGTTAGGCACAGTTCGGCTGGTGCAAAAATAAGCCGGAATTCACTTTTCACGGTTGAAATTCACTGTTCACGCTCTCACAATTTCCTCCAGATTCCTCCAAATTCCTTCCAGCGAACAGTGTCTAACAGAAGCATTGGGAAGAAAAAAAAGAGAGGACAAAAAACAGGAGAAAAAAATATGTCCTGTTTTTAGACACATGTTAAGGGCGTCCGCAATGGGGATAACTACGTAGTCAGCTTACGTAGAGGTGAGAGAGAAAAGCAAAGACTATTTTATACATTCTTATTTTTCTATGTACTATTGGACTCACATGTTTCTCTCTCAGATTCTTGGACTACGTGAAATAGATCAGCTATTTGTTCGTCGTTAGTGACTATTTTCTTTCCTACTTTTTCTTTGCCCACGTTAAAATAGCTAGCCAAATAGCTAGATGTTGGGGACGTGGAGGTTCACTCTTGCTGACGAGACCGCGGGAGGCGGGAGCAGCGTGCGGCGGAGAGGGAGGAACTGTACGCCGAGCGGAGCGCGGATCCTCGAGGAGCTGGCGGCAGGGAAGGATGCCCCTGCTTTGAGTGATTCGATGGGCCGTCTTCCTGGGCTGGGCAGCCCACTTAATTAGTAGCTTATCCTGTTATTTTCTTTTACTATTCCTTGTATTTCAGACTTCAAAATATATTACATAGGTCAATTCAACTTTGTCTTAAGTTATACTACTTTTCTATCTTTGATCGATTTTAATTTTCAAATTATAGGTCAACATCAAATTAGTAGTACGTACGTTTTTTGATTGACATATACATATGCTATACATATTGTAGTCCCTTTGAATGGAATATATGTATATACGTAGCGCTATGATGCAATAGCCAAATTAGGCCTTAATAAACTTCTATGAATGCTCAATGTCGTCCTCCGATTTTTAAACTAACCAATTGAAATGTTAGAATTTATATATAGGCTAGTTGCCCTAAAACCATATACAGAAATTCTAATAAACCTCTAAGGCACATTTATCTATGTTCCCTAATGGATTTTATTGTTTAAGCCCACAAGTAGAGATGAAACATAAATTAATACCATATTGCTAGTTGATGTGGAGTATCAACCTCTTATGGGAAAGATGCACCAGAACTATTATATGGTGAGCTCCTAGGTTTGGGAATCCCTAAATTGGTTAGAGTTTTTATCTTCTCTCTATTGCGCCAGAGTATGTGTTCTTATCATGGGTCACCTTCAAGCCAATACAAGCGGTATTGCTTTGACAATTCTTTTGTCAACATTGTTGTCAACAACATCGCTCCTCCCGGCCCTGACGGCGTCATCCGTAGACAAAAGTTAATAAAGACCATAAAAAATGGTATTATTACAAAAGGTAATTAAAATCACAACTTCCATGGAAATTGTTTGATATATACGTCTTTTTAAGTGTTGTTGCTGCCTACATGGGTAGAGCCAGTGCTGATCCAAAAATCGAAATTCAATTAATTTTCGATCAACTCACCACCGCTTGTCTAGTCCAGCGTCTCCTTTGTAATGAGCCTAGCAGGGGCATATCCTCTCTCTTTCTTCTTTATCTCTTCCTCCTCATTTCTCTGCTTTCCTACTACTTTTCTCATAAAAAATGGATGAAGGGCTCCATTGCTTTGTGGGGGGCAGCTGGATGACTGGATCTGTCCCTGGTGTCTTTCCACATGATTCACCACGTGTATCAAATATGGTCTAGTAGTTTGATTATATCGTGATTTTGGTAATTTAATGGTGACGGCTAATGAACTAACATGTTTTTTTCAGCATATCCTGCTAGAGAGTGAAAAGCTGCAGAAACTTGTCGTTTGCTAGTAGCTGGTTGCTCTTTTGCTACCCTTTTCCTGTCCCTAGTACATAGATCTTTTCTCACTGATGAGTGGTAAGCACTTTATTTACCAGCAATGTTTAATGTGAAGGCATCTCGAATAATGCACTCGTGTAACTGTCGCCAACAAGAAGACCCATATGCACCTAAACAAAAATAGATAACAGAGGCCTAAAATCAGCCTTCAACGGACTATCTATATGAGAGACCTATTTTAGGTTGCATGATAGACACAACCTAAATATAAGCATCTTCTCTTCTGGAAACCCATTTGTAGAAAGGATTCTTTTTTAGGTCCCGTTGTTGGAAAAGATGCCGAATGTGTATTGAACCCTTTGACTGTAACGCTACCTAAAGGTCAAATAGATCTTATATTTTGGATTGTGTTGTTGGAGATAGTCTAAGTGTAATTGCTGTCTCTATATTACTCAACTAAATTTAATGGTTGACAAAATAGCATCTCGATTAATGCACTCGTAGCACAATGCACCAGCACGAGGTATGCCTTTGACTTGTATGACCGTACCATAGGCCCAATACCTTCCGCGGTACGGTAGTAGTATAATCCTCGCCCTTTTCCTCACATGACATGCTTCTTCTCATCCATACGAGAAACCATAATTAGGAGTTAAACCATGATCTACAACAGCCACAATCATTCCTACGAAGCATCAATAAAACATCCTACGTATCCAGCACCAGAGAGGAATAGAGCAACCATGATAGCAATAGTTGTTCAGCTGACGAGCACACCAAAGTTTCAAAGTTTACAGCAGATACCAACAGCAGCACTAAAAATGACAGCTGGAAGTGAAGGTTCAAGGTTCTATCATCACCAGAGGCATTAGCAGTGACTGGCAACAGAAAACAGAACGATAAACAGTAGTAGAGAATTGGACCTCTATTATCACCAGAACGTCATGCTGTCACATATCACAGCACAGACCTGGATTATGCAAGTTTTTGACAGGGTTAATCAGTGTATACAATGTTAACAAGTAGTAATTCCACAGGTGGGAACTTCTAGTGTATTTACAGCCAGTCTCCTGTATCACTTTCATCATTTCCTTCCCTTCTACAGAAAGACAATACCAGAAGAAAAATATTTCTTCTGATTACCATGAACATCCATGAACATCCCTTCAAATCTCGACCGTCTTCAGAATGATGTTTCAGCATTCTTCCATGTCAGATACCTAAACTACTGAAATTAATACACCACAGATCCACCAGTATTTTGATCACAGGACGAATAGCACACTGGTTCACAGCTAAACTCATGGGATGCTGGAAAGAGAACCAAGTTCAACAGTGACATGTGTTATACCTATTCGTTCAGAGTGTTTCTTTTTCACCCACTTTCTCCTTTCGAACAAAAATTAGTTATCCATCCAGGCAAATTGTTGGTCAGTCTATTTACATTCATGAAGCCTTGTACTATTGCCTTCTTTCCAATGTTGTAGTCGCCTAGACCCCGATGCATAATGCCACACCCTCATGATGATCTTCGCCAACTTTTAATTCCCTTTTGAGGCAGTTTGAACGGGCTCCAGCTTTTCCTGCGCTTTGGGCTGTCAGCAAAGACGCCTGATGCCAGTGCCTGCTGAAGCCACAGCTCAAATTCATCTTCAGGGATCATCTCTGCGTCCAAGCTGAAGGGATACCGGGAACTGTAGGATCTCTGAGGCATCCTATCTGTGCCAACCATGTTTACCATAAAAGTTGGACCATGAGTGTTAGGCTTACACTCCATTCCCTGGATAATCAACAACAGTAAAAGAAGTTAGAGAAGTAAATTCATATTCCTTTAAATGGAACAATGAAGCATTTCATGTGAATATTCAAAGCTGCAAGTCATACATCAAAATAGCAACAGTAAAATCGGTTAGATCGAGCCAGACACTCACCTGGCAGGTAGCCCACTCAGACACATCAAATATTTTGCTCTCAGCACAAACAAAGGCTCGTGGTATTTCCATCTGAAGTGAAAAATGCACATTGCTCAAATACAAATACAAATACGAATACAATGAACTAAAAAAACTGAGTATCTCAGGACATTCATCATTAGAAAATAGGCATTCTAGAATTGAGTAGCACTGTTCATAAGTTCTTCCATATAATAAATTGTAAAAGCAAGACATCAATGTACCTTGACGGAGGATGAAAATCTGGTTTCAACCCATCCATCTCCATCCTTGGCTTGATGAAACTGATCACAGCCCTACATCCACATAATTCCTACTAATTAACTGCAATGATACCCAATCAATCGAAAAGTACCCTGAAAAGTCCATACTGGGTGACTAACCTGACAGAATCTTGCTCTTGTTTTGCTTCTCTTGGTGCATATCCATATATGGAAATTACCACACTTAGTGCACTGTATGCGCCTGGACTCGTCTGGGAGAAACTCTACACCACTCTTTAAAAAAAAAGAGTCTGAGATAAGTTTATTTAAAGTGAATTGCTTCATCACATCCATTAGACCACTCAAGTGAAAAATACCATTGTTGTGTCCTGACATGTGGACCCAGGGCCCACCTGCCAGTCTCACAAGCAGTAGTATTTCCCAGTTTGTGCATCTTTGCAATGGCACCATGCTAATTTCTCAGTAAGTTACACTATACACTTGAATAATTGACCAGTTATACATAGAAACCACCGGATATATATAGAAAGAGAAATATAATTGTATGTCAACAGAGATAAGAAACCACCTGTTGAGAGACAACACGTGATCTCGGAGTCATTTTCAGTGATTCTTCTTTCCTCAGTTGTTCATCATAGGTGTTTTTCTTTGTGAGATCAGAGAGAACCTGCAGGAAGGTATGACTACACAAGTTAACTTCATCAAGAATCAGAAAGGTAATAAAGAAAAGATACACTACTGGATTAAACAATAATCTAGACAACGAAAAGTCAAAGCATAAACATCTGAACAAACACTTGCCTCATAAGCTGATTGAAGCTTTTTGAATGATTCACAAGCCAATGGATTTCCCATATTTTTATCAGGATGTACAAGCAGGACCTAGAGAAACAAAAGACAAGACTGTAAAAAAGAGGACAGTAATATGAATTTCCATTGTATATGGGGTTGTGATGTAGTACCATTCTGTGATATTCTTTTTTCAAGGTCTTTTGATCAATGCTTCTATTACGAGGTACGCCCAAAACTTCATAATGGTTTGAACCATCCATTATCCTCTTAATCTCATCCAATGAACTAGAATCAGATTTCACTACTTTACTAGGAGGTTCCTCTTTTTGTACATGTAACACATCTTGGATGGGTGCTGAGCAGTATGGCTTCGCTGAAGACACGGTCTCAGGTTCACTATCAGGAACTGGTGGGAATTCACAACTACGATAGAACTCATCCATAACTGGATCAGAATCCTTCATGTCTTGAAACTGGCTTTCTTCAGTGCTTCCTTCGTATCCTTGCGCTAACTTATTAAGAAGATCATTTGTCAAGAAAGAAAGGTTGAGTGTCAAGAAGACTCCAAGCCACCCAACACGAACAGCCACAGAATAAATAGCATATGAAGTCAAAACAGGTATCACATATCGAGCATGTTTCAAAGAGCACATACAACCTGCATTAACGCATAGAAGCCTATCATCAGGTGTAAGCATCAAAAAAAAATGACTACGGGAAAAAAGAAACAGGTTAGGGACTTGTAGGAAATATAAGCATTCTCAGGAGCAGATTTGTAAGTTTAAATAAACAAACCTCCAGCAACCAGAAGCATTCCTGTAATCCAAAAGTAGCCATACATCCACATTATTAATATCCCAAACAGCCCAACAATGAAAAGGCCAGGTGTATAGCCCATATAGTGAACAACTGCAGCAGCAGCCCCCTGAAATATTGAGCTATTAAAAAATTAGCAAACAACATACCTTCTGATACTTTCTAATCCTATAAATCTAAATATGAAATCATGTGTCCTTACTTGCAAGTAAAAGCTACATATTATACAAGTACATTTGATAACAATGAACTACACAGTCAGCATGAAAATGTCAAAACCTAGCAGTGAAAAAATATCAGGGGACCTAGCATTAGGATTCTTTAGTTTTATTTTGTCTCTACTGCTTGAATTCATGTATGACTTACCTAGTGCAATCTAGCGAAAAGGTTTAACATTCTTCCGTATTAATTAAGCCCACTACAGTTCACAACTGGGGTTACAACCAGATAGAAACTCAAACTATGGCAGAGGCATAAGTGCATATTAGAGTTAATCCATCTACGGTCTTGTTTGGATGTACGTGTATCCATCTCAATCCATGTGTGTTGGACTGGGTAAATTCCACCCCAACCCACTCCAACACACATGGATTGAGGTGGATACATGTGCATCCAAACAAGACTTACAATGAAAAGTATGCTATGTTCATTGGTATTAACATTTCAATTAATCAAACAAACAGTAGTTACTGCACGATGAAAAAACAGAACATCAACTTTCTAGCATTTTGCTGAGATAGGATCCTCGCAGGGTACATATTACAGACACGATGCATTCTCACAAATAGCAAGTCGGTTTATGAAGGATGGAGTAGCATAGCATCATTCTAGCATAGTAAGATATATTCACATAACAGGATTAGTAGGTCAGGTCATACTCAATCCGAAAGTTGTGTTTCATCACTATCCTAACTTTGGTAGCAAAACAAACTAGACAGAACTAAGTAGTGCAAAAGAAACTTAAAACGCAGCAGTTCACATATGTTACTTCTAAAGTAGCGAGAATCATGTTTCATCACCATCCTACCTTTGGTAGCAAAACAAACTAGATAGAACTAAGTAGTAGTATTAAAGAAGTTGAGAACGCAGTGTGCAGTCCATAGATGTTCTTTGGTAGCAAAACAAACTAGATAGAACTAAGTAGCATAGTATAAAAGAAGTTGAAAACGCAGTGTGCAGTTCATAGATGTTACTTCGCGATAGCATAGAAGAAGCTTACTACTAAAAGCTTTACACAAACATTTAGCAGCAACACATGAAGGCAACCAGTGGTGGCACAGTTTAGGCAACACTTTAACCACTTTCGTAAAGAAATGTATCCTCACATGCAACGCAAAGTTGGACAGCAAAAGCAGCACATGTCAAGATTTAGAATCCATCACCCAAAATCCTTATCCGGTAAATCAAATCTGAGCTAAAGGTTGAGAAGCAACAAGACAAAGACAAGTAGGATTTGCGGACTAGCACGAACCAGGCTAAGAAGCGCGTAGAGGGCGCACGCCGGCGAGGTCATGCAGACGAAGAAGCTCCAGAGGATGACGAAGACGGCGGCGGGGCCGAGGCTGGCCACCGCCAGCACCCCGCGCGCCGTACACCCGCGCCATTGCCGCAGCGCGGCGAGCGCGAGGCGCGAGGAGGTGGCGCACGCCCGGGACACGGCGGGCCAGTGCCGGTCGACCAGGAAGGCGAGGCGCTCCCTGCTGCCGCACGCCGCCGTGTGCGCCCACGCCAGGATGTGCTTCTGGGATAGCACCCACATCCACGCCTGCTTCCACAGCCCCAAATCCGCCATGGACTGGGAGCCGCAAGAAACGCCGAAATCCAATCGGAAAATGCTCAATCCAGGGACCACGAGAGCTCCACCATCTCCCCCCAACCGAATTCAAAAAATACTCCACCACGAGAACCGAAGCAGCAGCTCGGTCGCAAGAATCTGCTTCCCCCAAGCCTCTCCAATCCAAGAGCTTCAAGAAGAGGAATGGATAAGCGGCGGAAGCAGCTCAAGAACTAGCCAAGAAGCACCGCCGCTCCCCAAGCGGGTCAGAGCCAGACACGCCCGAGCACAAACCGGATCGAGCCGAGCCCTAAACCCAGTTGCCGCCACCTCAGCTGAATTGGCCGGGGACGGCAGGAGCTCCCTGGAAGCCGCCGCTTTAAGCGCTGGGGGGGGACGACGAAACCCCGGGGAGCCTCAGAAAGGCGCCATCTTTCGCGGGGCTGCGGGCCGCCGACACCTGCGGATGCCGGATGGATCTCGCGCCGGTGAGTCGGCGGGGTGCGGGGGTAAAATAGACGGGAATCCGAGCTTTGGCGCAGCCGGCGTCGCTCTCTTTTGCTGGTGCTTCGCTCGCTCGCTTTTGCTGCGCTTGGCTTGGGCGCTTGCTTGGCTCGTGACAAAAGAAGGATTGCGGTGGAGCTAAAAGGGAAAAGAGAAGACCAAGGAGAGATCTTGCAAAAGAGGGCAGGGGGAGAAAGATGAAGAAGAGAGACAGGATTAGGGATAAGTTGGGAGCAGTGAGAGTGGGAGAGAGGAGAGGAGACACTGTTGATTGCTAATGGAACGGGGAGGCATGGGCAGAGCAGAGGAGAGGAGCGGTGCAGGGGTGCTCAAATGTTAGAGGGAAAAGAGAGTGTTTTGTTCTGCAGACTGCAGAGGAGAGAAAGGTTTGAGGAGATGCCAATTGATTGAGTAACAGTGACACCAGCAGCAGGATGATGAGTGACTGTATGAATGAATGGTGACAGTGACCGAGATTTTTTGGCAATTTTATGAGTTTGGGAGATTTTTTAATAACTCTTTCGTTTAATTAATGATGATGAGAATGGAAACTAATACTGGTTCAAAAAATTGGTATGCCAATAGTACTAGATAAGGAGAAAACGTGGTAGGAGGAGAACAGAGTTCATTTATGCGCTTGGCGTTAAACTTGAGTTATTAATCACGGAAGAGTGGAGGTGGAGTGGTTAGCTGCTTTGTGCTTAAGAATTACTCTACTCATCCATGATCCATCCCTTGCCTGGTGGCAGTGAACTGAAATGTGTAAGGTTGGTAGGGTTAGCTTGGTAAACATGCATGGGGAGTTGTGAAGTGTCGACTGCACGGTACTATACTGTCACCAAGTGAACATAATTTTGTTTTAAAAGGATTATCTTTTCTGTCACCAAGTGAACATATTTTGAAATTGCCAATAATCCTGTCTCATAGGGGAAAAAAAGAGTAAGAAATGTTGATGCCATAGGGAAATGTAAATCAGATTATCACTTTTTGCGTATGTTCGGATGAGCTAGAGCTGGTTACTAGTTGAGCTCAAAATTAGCTCAAATTATTTAGGGTTGGCTAACAACTAATTGAAAGGCTTGGCTAAATAATTAGTTCACCTATTAGCTTTTCTGTTTGGATGTACTAAGACAAAATTAAGCTATTTTTTAGCTAGCTACTAGTATCTTTTTCAAAACTATGGATCTATTCGGCATGGCTTCAACTTCGGCTCCCGCACCAACGATGAGCCGGAGCCGCAACAAATGGGCGAGTTTTCTAGGGATTACAGGAGTTAGACTCACAGTTGTTTCCATGATACGGCGGTGTAGCGACAGATCGTTTTTTATGCTTCTACTTCAGCTCTGGCTTGTGCAGTGTTTGAGCCAGAGTAGAACCGGTGCCAAACTCACCCTATGTATATAGCACGCCAAATTAAAATAACCATATGAATGTACTTGTTGATGCTTGATGGGAATATATACAATTTCACCGTCATCTGACTATCTTCCTGGTCACTTGATCGTATCAGCCATGCTTATCAGTTATGATATAGTATTTTTCTCTCACAACAAAACAGCATCAGCCGACTTATAAGTCACAAAAAGCGAACATGGTGTATGATTATGCTTGCAAAAGTAATGCCAGTCTCTCGTGACTCCTCTTTCTCCCTGGTGCCAAAAATTCCATAACAATCTAGGAGTTTGATAGCCTTTTATTTCTTGCTTTCTTTCTCCATCTTGTTTAATCCCTTTTCTTTTGCCTGTGGGTCCATGCATTTTATGCAGCTAGTTTCTCTCCCTCCAAACATCTTTCTCGCTTTTTATTTTTTCTAAAAAGTAGAAAATACAGGTAGCCACATGGACACCAAACACAAAAGAACAAAATGACACCAAGCACAAAAAGAACACAAAATAGAAAATAGGTGGTTCCTCTATTGCCTTTGGTCGTTGCAGTTTGGTACCAAACAGTTGAGAAGTGTTGGATCAAACATAGCAATGGTGTGTATGGATGGAGGAGATGAACCACCAGAGCTAATGAACCGTCCAAAAGGTTACAAAACTTGTCGTCACATGTGCAAATGGAGGAAGAGGGTGCCATTATGCCAATGTCCTGACACTAAACTTTTTGTTTGAAGCCTGCAAGAGAACATTCCAAGAGTACTCTCTCTGCCCTACCCATGCAATTTACCATGTTCAGGAGGGTGATTGTGCAAAGTGAGATCACTGGGTCACATGCCATCCACATGCCTAATTATTGGGGCAGGTGCTAGCAAAATTATAGACCTGCATGGTAAAGACAAAAGAAATATTTTTCTAGGGGCAAAAGATAAAAGAATACCATCCGTCCAAGTTGACCTGTGATGGATGATATGAGATGTGAGATTCTACCAGGTCAAGAAGCGTCTGCATGACCCCAACCAAGATTTGTTTTGGCATAGCATCCTTCAAGCAAAGCAACATGGCATTTGTTTTACCTTTCATCTTTTCTTCCTCCCTCCTTTGTTCTTTGTTTCTTTTTCTTTGCATATTTGATTCATTCTTCTTAGCTACTGCTATACAATTGACCGAATTTAATTTTGTTTTACAGATCACAACTCATCAATCTGTGACGAAATTTTGCCTTCAGCGTAGGAGACAGCAGAGACACATGGCAAAAGAAAATGGTTTTGCTCCTCAATGATTGCATGCATATGCTATGGCACAAGGGTGACAAACGCAGATACTTTTGGATGCAAAACCTTAATTTAAATGTGCACCTAAATTTTGCAGGGGTTTTGCTTTTTCGCTGGTTGGTTTTTGGGCTGATAAGCCCGACTGATGCTGGTTTATTGTGAGAGGAAAACACTGTTTGCTGACTGATAAGCCCTGACTGAAATCAACAAGCGAACAGGTTGATTATCTGCAGGGGGCAAGACTAGTTCACCAAACCAGCATAAATGTAATGGTTTCTATCTTTAGTTGGCGCTCCTTGTTTTCAATTGTCATTCTATAATCCATCTTATAATCTGCAACAAAGAGAAAAGTCAGATGAAGTACTCAGATTGAACTCCTCCCAACACTTGCATCTTTTTCCCTTTGGCCTGACCTGGTGCTTGCAGTTACTTACACAACAACCCTGCAAACCTCACCATCAGCACATTCCATGCATGTTTTCTAATCCTTATGCACATTATATACAATGCTCAACTTCACATTCTTTTCACAAAATCACAAGATTGATAATCCAGAAACATCAACCTCATAATCACACATCACGTTTTCGATGACAAAAGCAAGAATATTGCAACAAGTTGGGCGTTGGCAGATCAACTCATCACATTTTGTGAAAACAGGAGCACCACTGCAAATTGGTGGACAAACAAACCAAACGACCGGGTTGGAATGGATGGACAGCGATGGGTGAGGTAGATGAACAGGAGAGAACCACTTCATAAGCTGTCAGGGACTTGCCGTGCTACCTGCTCTCAGTCTGTCTCACCACCAGTCTCCTGCAATTTCTGGAGGTAGTCAAGGAGTTGGCTAAGGATCGCATACAAGTATAGCTTTTGTCAAAAAAAAAAAGAAAGAAGAGAAAAGAAAACAGAGAGAAAAAAGATGCAGATGCACAAGATGAGACGGCATCTCATGACCCCGACATTCCTTTCCAGCGACCCTGTTTCCAGCGACCCTGTGCTGCAATCCTTACATATCACGCCTCATGATTCCCAGACTTTTTTTTTTAAACACCCGGTTTTAAGAACAAAACTAGATACACTTTATACGTGAGCTCAGCAAGTCAAATCTCACATATAGCTACAAATAAGAGTAATATTAATAGACAATGCTCAATATATAACGTAATTAGTATAGAGAATATAACCTTAGACAGCAAACAGCGCAAAGACAACTCCGATCTTCGGGTGAAGACTCTAATTCCACATGAACAACTGACTGGTTGATTACAAGCATAATTCCTCCAAACTCTAGCAATCTGGTACCCATCCGTGATTTTATCCAAATAATTGAAAAATAAAACAAGCGTAAATACATGTCGTACTCAACAAATATAACATAGGGTTCATGAGGCTCAAAAGGCTGAAGCTGGTTAACTGTGATTAGTTTTTAATTAGTCATAATTTTAGCAATTGGATGGTAACAAGTTTATTCACAAGCCCATATAAACATATGATCGGGTAAATACGAATAATGAATAGCATAAACAATTAACCATTAATGAGCATCTTTATCATCAGTATCATCAGTGTTCATCATCTATTTCGTAAATATTCCAAGGCCGCTCGTGACCGTGAACACGGCTAATATACCAGTTTTACACTCTGCAGAGGTTGTACACTTTCACTGTAAGTCGTGATTTACCCTTTCGTCCGAGGTCACGAGCATCTTAACCCACTACCAAGGAAGGTCGGCAGAGTTCACTATGAAACCTTTCAAAGGTTCATCTAACAAGTTAGTGCCGCTAGATTCACTCGGCAAACAGATATAGGAACCCCTGTCGAATGGCATAATTTCATCACGGCTATACACATAAGGGTA